AGGTCATACATAGTGAGGTTAGGACATTAGCGTAACAAGAGCCATCAATCAGTCAAGGAGACACGGTCGTCGTCTCAACAGAAGCAATCACTCACAAGACAGTGGGCGTACGTGGCCAGTAAGGGCGAGTCACTGCTGATTGCTTCCCGGGGTCTTCAACCACTTACCCGGAGTAATTATGCCGGAATAGTTGCACAAATAGCTACCCCGGCGTTTGCAAATGCATGCAATTGTGACCTCTGGCCCTGCAACACTGACGAAATTGGGTGATATCAACATCGGAATGTATCTCTTTGCATGAGAATAAAAGCACAAGTATACACTGCAACGTTTGCAATTGCATGCAATGTGTCTCTCCCCGAGAACATTACACCGTGTGATCTGTGACTCCCGTCTGCAGTACCAACAAAACAATGTCTAAATCTATCAGTATATCTTAGTAACAATAAGAAAGTCTGGTTGGGGAGCGACCAGTGAGGCGGAGGTCGGTCAGGCTGTATCAAAGTATCTTCTGACATTACATTATCTTTATTGAATGAAATATAGATTAAAAAACGATAGAGAAATGGCTGTCGTCTTCTTCATATTTTTTTTTTTTTTGCGTTTTGAACGGTAGAATAACTAAAACAAATTCAAGAAATGAAAATAATATTGCTATTCGGTCATGATGCAATGATATGGCATTTAATGGATGTAAAGAAAGAAAGTTTAGGAAATGTCGGACTGTATAACTGAAAGGCCTTTAGCATATCCTAACATAGGTTGTCTCTCCCTCCCCCAACACAACAGGAGTCACTCAGACGTCTGAAGCAGCAGCATTGTGGTGAAGTCACTTCCCCACAGCCAGTCACCAGCAGTTCACAGGTCGGTCTGGGTAGGCGACGACGGAGGGTTTCACCTGAGATCCTCACCCGTCACCCAGCTGACCCACACACCCCATCTCCGTCACCTACCGTCCCAAGGCGTCACCTAGTTAATCCACACCTCTCATCTCCGTCTCCTACCGTCCCAAGGCGCCACCTAGTTAATCCACACGCCTCATCTCCGTCTCCTACCGTCCCAAGGCGCCACCTAGTTAATCCACACCCCTCATCTCCGTCTCCTACCGTCCCAAGGCGCCACCTAGTTGATCCACACGCCTCATCTCCGTCACCTACCGTCCCAAGGCGCCACCTAGTTAATCCACACCTCTCATCTCCGTCTCCTACCGTCTCAAGGCGCCACCTAGTTGATCCACACGCCTCATCTCCGTCACGTACCGTCCCAAGGCGCCACCTAGTTGATTCACACGCCTCATCTCCGTCTCCTACCGTCCCCGGCCGTCATTTAGCAGATCTTCATGCTTCATCTCAGTTTCATCAACCTCCGCTGACGAAGGGGTACAACAGTGTAAAATCTACCTCAGTCGGTCATGGTGCTTTTCACCCGACCTTACCCGTTAGTGCTCATGAACGGGAGCGCCATAAACACACTCATTCTCCTTCATTTCCTCTTTACTATCCACCTCCCTCTCCTCCTGCACAGCGAGATGTGAGTAACAGGGATCTCTCCGCCTCACTGCTTGCTAAAGAGGCAAAGAACTTGTTAATCGAGCAAACAACAGCGATTATTGGAGTTGGGGAGGCCGAGGCGGAGTTTAAACGCCAGGCCGGAGGATTGAATCACCGAGGAAGTGAAACACGCAACGTAAACAAAAATTTTGTCCACACTGAGAGAAGTAACGGGTGGCGTAAAGCCGGTGTTATGAAGCCTCGACTAAAACGACCGCTCATCAACCCGTGTAAGAGTGGTCGCTGCCTCTACGACCAACATCGTCGTCCGGAGCGAAACAATTTAGTTTTGATAGCCACTAAAACTCCGCTCACTCATGAGGTCGCCGACGGGACTCCCGCCTACAGCCCCAGTACAATAGGTCGTCGTCTCGTAGACGATATCGCAGGAACCAGTGAATTTCTCGTGGGATTAGGAGAGTTGAGGAAAGTCCCTGTTGATATTTATGGTAGAGGGGTGGCCATAGACGGGGAGGATGTACAGGAAAGAAGAAACATGATGAATGCTAAATCGGACGTTCTCGCGACCTACAGGACGATAAGGGTTGACGAACGAGGAGAAGCTAGTTATCCTGCTAGACGAAAAAGTGAGAGGAAGGAGATAAACGTCCACTCGGCCTTCAGGTCATCAAGGTCAGCCCGCTCAGAAGGAACGACGTATCCTGCAGTTAGAGATGACAAGGGAAGATCGACTCCAACAAAGACTCCTGATGTTAAACGAGAAGACCCCAGGGATGTCAGAACCACTGGCCACGGCTTTGGTGTCAGTGACGGAGACTTCTCAAACGTGGGCTTCGGTAAGATGGATGGGTTTGGCTTGCCACCGAGCCACGGCTTTGAGATGGACGAAGGATTAGGTGGTGGTCACGACACGGCTTCTCCAGATAGAGGCTTCAACGGAGGCTTCAGTGGAGGCTTCAACGGAGGACCCTTGGATGAGTACGACCCAGACGAGTGTGTCAACGGCCTCTGTCCAAACATATCAAGTCACCCGCGTCCTGGTGGACCTATCTATCCCTATGACGAGGGTCAGCCTTACCACCCTAGCCTTCCTTACGACCTAAACCTTCCCTACGACTATGCCTATCCCTACGACCCCAACCATCCCTACGACCCCAACTATCCCTACGACTCCAACCATCCCTACGACCCCAACCATCCCTACGACCCCAACCATCCCTACGACCCCAACCATCCCTACGACCCCAACCATCCCTACGACCCCAACCATCCCTACGACCCCAACCATCCCTACGACCCCAACCATCCCTACGACCCCAACCATCCCTACGACCCTACTCACCCTTTCCAGCACACAGGAGTCTTTTACGGCGACGCGGGGTTCGGCTCCGTGGTGGAACCTGGTGTGGATAGCGACTCTGGTGACCACGAATCATTCCACACCGAAGTCACCGTCAGGTAAGGTCTCTAGTTTCAATACCTGGTCGGAGTGGAATGTTGATGAAATACCTGTGCTCCTCTCACCTCTTGTCTACAAAGTAGTTATGCGGGGGGAACACCTGTTGTGCCTCCACCTCTTAATTGGTTATATTACACCGACACTGTCAGGTATTAAACCCCTTTAGTACGATGTTAACCCCCGTCATAACACTGAGTAAATCCTTTACTCGATACCGTGATGAATATAATGCTAACCCGCTAAGTATAATGAATTAACACAGTGAGTAAAGCATACAGTACATTATATAAATAGTGACAACACAAATACAATTTTTTTTCCTTTACTTATTTCACTCTCAGTATTTTCCTCCCTTAAATATGTTCCTTGGTTATTTTCCTCTCAGTTGTCACAGAGGCTACGTGAGGGCGACTGCTCCCTCGCCTCCCTCCACTCTACAATAGCCGTTGTCCAAGAAGCCTCGCCTCTGCCACAACTTTACGTTTCCTAATATTTTCTTGAGTTGTCAGTTTTTTTTTCCCTCCGTAATTGTTGTTTTATTGGTGTGAAATTGTTTTTGTTTTAATCGTTGTTTTACTGTGTGCTTCTATCTACTTTTTTTTGGTTATTCTGTTTTAATTGTTGTTTGAATCATCTTCTAATGGTTTGTATCCTCTTCCTGTTAAATGATAATAATAATAATAATAATAATAATAATAATAATAATAATAATAATAATAATAATAATAATAATAATAATAATCCGGCAGCCACTTAGGATTTCACACCTGTCTTGTTACCTCTTGGGAACGGTCAGTCTACTTGAATTATTCCTTAAGACTGTACCCTCAACCTACCCGCCCCCCACTACACGTAACACCTGCTGATCATCTCAAACCAGAAGGATGTTATCAATCTCTTAATTCACTTATACACCTGTTGTTGATTAGTGTGTTTAAAGGTATCTGTCCTTCTCTCTCTCTCTCTCTCTCTCTCTCTCTCTCTCTCTCTCTCTCATCTCAGTTTATATCGTCTTGTAAATTCTTCATCAAACTCTATGACAGTTTGCTTACGGTTCTCATCTAAGTTATTCACTTCACGCACTCAACTTTAAAATCCATTTGCTGTCATGTCATGAGTTTATTTTTTCACACAATGGAGTTCAATTTGTTTGCCGTCGTCTCCGAGAATTGCAACAAAGTCAATTTCAATATTTTACTACCGCCAGTTCCAAGAAGTATTGTTATGTTGTCAATATTGTCGTGTTTTCCATCATCTGTAAATACTTTCAATATATTGATCTATTTACTGTTATTTGTCAACATTTCACGTCATTAATCTATTTACTCTTACATTGAAAAGTCTGATCTATTTTCTATCCTTTCTGGCAAACTATTTCACACTCAAATTCAATCTCCTCGCTGTCACCCGTGAGCACTGATCCATCACACTGTTCCTATCTGCTGCAGCCCGGAGAGGACGGTGTGTCGAGGCAACTTATCCAAGAATTACCGAGACGTACAATGTGTTCCTGAACCAGACGCCTTCAACCCTTGTGAAGATATTATGGGCAACCTCGGACTCAGGGTGGCTGTGTGGCTGGTGGTGGTCACTGCTGTGTTTGGTAAGAGAGAGAGAGAGAGAGAGAGAGAGAGAGAGAGAGAGTAATATTTTTATTTTTTTTTATTTCTTTTATATTTTAATTATGTCACTAAATAACTATATAATCAACTTATGAGTTTAATTCCTTCTCATAAGTATGTCCCTCTCATGTGTCTCCCTAACCCCTCTCATCCCTCTCAAGATAAGTGTCAAAATTTCTTTGGTGGAATCTCTCATCCCACTCATGTGCCACTGTTATCCCCTTCGATCCCTCTCACCCTTCTTACGTGTCCCTCTCATTCCTCTTATACCTCACTCTCACTCATCCTTCTCACCCTACACACGTATCCCTCTCACCCTACACACGTGTCCCTCTCACCCCTCTCACCTTATATAAATCATCCCCTCTCACCCCTCTCACCTTATATAATCATCCCCTCTCACCCCTCTCACCTTATATAATTATCCCCTCTCACCCCTCTCACCTTATATAATTATCCCCTCTCACCCCTCTCACCTTATATAATTATCCCCTCTCACCCCTCTCACCTTATATAATTATCCCCTCTCACCCCTCTCACCCCTCTCACAGGTAACCTAGCGGTGATGGTGGTGTTGATGAGTACCAGATTCAAGATGACTGTATCCAAGTTCCTCATGTGTAATCTGGCCGTGGCTGACCTATGTATGGGTCTCTACCTGTTAATCATCGCTGCCATGGACCTACACACGATCGGGGTCTACTTCAACTACGCTATCGACTGGCAAAACGGTAAGAGAATAAATTAGACAGGTGGTGATTGACAGCTAGAAAAGAAGGAATGAGATAGAGAAAAAAATGAAATAAAACAGATAGAAATGAAGGTAGGGAGAAGATATAGAGTGAATAAAGGAGAGAATAATTGTGAATGAGGAAAGAGAGAAAGAGAGAGAGTGATTATAAAAAGGAGAAAGGTTGTGAGTAAGTGAGAAAACAAGAGAGAGAGAGAGAGAGAGAGAGAGAGAGAGAGAGAGAGAGAGAGAGAGAGATAAGGAATATGAGAACACAAACAGATATAGTAAGAGAAAGATAGATAAACAGTAGGGGGAAATAATTGCTAAGGGCGAGGGAGAGAGAGAAAAAATGAGAGAGAGATAGAGGGAGAGAGAATATGAGATGGAGATAGAGGAAGAGAGAATATGAGAAAGAGTAAAGGGAAAGAGAAAGAAACTAAAGGGAGATAGAGAGAGAGACAGAGAGAGAGAGAGAGAGATAAAGAGAGAGACAGAGACAGAGATCGTTGTACAGGTGTGACTAAGTTTAGAGCCAGGTGAACGCTCGTCTAACATGGGAAGAGAATGCATAGAAGAATAACAGGTGGGTATCTCTCTCTCTCTCTCTCTACTACAACAGGTATGTCCACAGGTACTAACAGGTGTATTGCTACTGTAGGGGATGAAAGTTACTGATAGTCAACCTCACTCTCAGTTGGACTTGGGCAATAACAAGGTGGAGACAGTCCAGTTGTCAACAAAAGTTTTGCTCGCCTAGAGACTCAAAGTTTAACAAGTAAATAATGACGGCAGCCATTTTCCGCACAACTGGAGAGCGATTTTCATTTTGATTTCCGGATCTTATATTAATTTCATCCTAATATTCCTACGTTCTTAAAGATTCCTAAGTTAATCTAGTCATTTTACAGTTAAGACGCAAGAACCCCATCTACCCAACCCGTTTTTAATCTATAGCACTGGACTATAAAACTCGCTTAGCGTTTTATCAACACTCTAGCTGCACGGGAAGCTAGAGACGTTCTCAAATGGCAGTGAGGAAGCTAAACTTATTAGTAATTATCAACATGAGACAAACAAGATGCAGAAGTAAATAATCAAAAAGAATCACGTTTACTTGACCTCCCGCGAATTGTGCTTTTATTTAAACGAATCTAGGTGACTATAAAGGCCTTTCTCCTATGGGTAAAGTGTCGTCGATCACCCTAAACAGTCACCAAAATCACCTGATTAACTTGAGGGTTCTTGAGAATCAGTGAGGACCCTTAAGTGTGGCTGTAAATGAAGGAATTCTTATGCGGATTTATGGTCAGGATTTTCCCTATATAACATCCGAACTCTGGGGGCCATTTGACTCGTGTGTGTGTGTGTGTGTGTGTGTGTGTGTGTGTGTGTGTGTGTGTGTGTGTGTGTGTGTGTGTGTGTGTGTGTGTGTGTGTGTGTGTGTGTGTTTTGTCCTTTCATTATTAGCAGCAGAGAGACAGAGACAGGGAGAGCGGGTGGAGGCGGTAAAAGAAACTAGAAATCATCAATAACTCGCCTGAGTAATTATTTCCCTCTTAGATGTCAACAACTTGTGTTTGTAGAGGAGATGAATTCACGACGGAAGTTTAGTTGCTGACACTTCCTTCCTCTCCCTCCCTAAGGTGTCAGGTGCCTGGGGTTACTGACGGTGTTTGCATTAGACTTGTCCATCCTGACGCTGACGGTGCTGACACACCCTCACTTCAAAGGACTTGACGCTTGCTCTCTCTCCCCCAGGCCCCGGGTGTCAGGTGGCGGGGTTCCTGACAGTGTTCTCGTCAGAGCTGTCTATCCTGACACTGGCGGTGATCACGCTGGAGCGGTGGTACGCTATCACGTACGCCATCCACCTCAACAAACGTCTCAGGTTGTCCGTGGCCATGAAGGTGATGGTGCTGGCCTGGGTGTACGCCCTTACCATGGCTACCTTGCCCATCCTGGGGGTCTCCGGTTACTCCAAGACAAGGTGAGTGAGTGGTATCTTAAACCAAGTTGAGTCGTGGTCACCAAGACCAGGTGAGTAATTCCATATTGACATAACTATTGTGAAATATAAACAAAGGTCCCGGGCGTTGTTCACCTAAACTAACCCAATTAACCCAAACTTAGTTGAGCCAATATTGTTATGACAAAGTCATACATATCTCAGGTAACTTCAGTGAGACAGTAACTATACACATCTATCGTGTTCCTTCCGTAGCATCTGTCTACCTATGGAGACGGTAGACGGAGCCGACCAGACCTACCTCCTCATCCTACTTATCACCAACGGGTTGGCCTTCATGCTCATCTGCGTCTGCTACGCCAAGATGTACTGCTCCATCGCTGGCAACAACCTGGCGGCCAACACCTCCGACACGACGGTGGCCAAAAGGATGGCGCTCCTGGTGTTCACTGACTTTGCCTGCTGGGCGCCCATAGCCTTCTTCGGACTGACGGCGGTCTCGGGTTTTCCTCTCATCAGTGTCACACACGCTAAGTTCCTGCTGGTGTTTTTTTACCCACTTAACTCCTGCGCCAACCCCTATTTGTACGCCATCCTCACCAAGCAGTACCGCCGCGACCTGTTCATCTTGCTGGCGCGTCACGGGTTCTGTACCAAGCGAGCCATGAAGTACAAGGGCGGCTACTCCACCAACACCTGGCTCAACCATCACAATGTTTGTGTCAGTGGAGGTACTGGCGGAGGTAGTGGAGGCCCCAGCAGAAGGATCTCCACCCTCACACAGCTCACCACCTGTGGTGACTGGCGGAGCCGCATCAGGGACGGTTCGGAAGAGTCCCTGGGTCGACAGTGTTCCCCCAGTCGTGCCAGAAGTGTCTCAGCCGAGCTCACGGTCCCGAGTCCCATGACGATGGGTTTGGCCGACCGTCGGCAGTCAGACTTAGGCCGTCGTTTACAGCCCGTAGCAGAAGTGCGTGACGCACGGACGTCTCCTAAACCCTGCACTCAGAACCCCTCCTCGGGTTCCCCCCACCCCATTAAGAACTGCTACGCCCGCATGAGCTTCACCCCCGAGCAAGAGGCGCTGCTCATGCGTTATGCGTTAGACAAACAGCCCAGTGAGACTCCTGCCAATGCGCGGCGAAGCACCACGCCCAACAATAAGGACGAGGCTGTTCCGCTGTCCGTGTACACGCCCACCACGCCCGACACCATCACCACCCCCATATCACCTGAGCTCGATCATTCAGTATAAACCTGTGACAGTGATGCTCAGCCCTCCTCATGTTAACGTGACTGGTGCTGGGAGCACATATCTATCTTAAGCTGTGACACAAACACCTACCGTACTCATAAGTAGATGCATTCTCGTAGCAGTAGATGCAGAGGAAAGAAATTTAACTACGAACGCTTAAGACTCCCGGGTTCTCAAAGGCTCGTATGTTGAATTTCCGTCGTAACTGAGAATGTAAGATCACTGACTGATTTATACTACAACACACGATTTACGTCGAAAATAGCATCGAAATTATACTATCACTCAGTCTAAACTAGCAACGTTCACTTAGCACCAGTTAGGGGACAGGAGCAGAAACACTGTGACTCCTATTCTGAACCCTGGTACTAGCCCCAGAGTCTTGCAAGAGATAAGACTTCAGATCTGTTAGTGATGCTCACGTTGACGCGGGATCAAGTGTCGCCTGGAAAAACACACACAAAGATGGGAGCTTTTCTTTCCACACGTCCGGGAAACATTTTTGTTTTTTCATTCTCTTTGTAAAACATGAGAATGTTGTGGTAGATGTGTAGTGGTGAACGTTGATGATGGTGTCTCACTGTGTCGTATAGTGACTGTGTATGTGTGTATCTTTGTGCGTGTATTAACGTTTTAGAAACCGCCATAACCTCACCTGCTAAAGGACGCTATTACTCCTATTAAAATATTCAGTGCAGAAACTCATACACTTTCTCGGTGATATTATCAGGATAATTTTAGACTGCAGAAACCCTTATAATTTCTCAAATAAATAAAGGGAAAGTTATAAACTGTGTGAGAACTTTTGCAGTCTCTCAAATAAATGAACATATATATGGAAACTGCAGAAACTCTCTATAATTTTCTAAATAAATAAGTAGAGTTATAAACTATGGTGTAACTCTAACAATGTCTCAGCTAAATAATCGAGAAGTTGCAACCTGTGTAGGAACATATACAATGTGTCAAGAAGTGGACAGGTAAATATTACATTAACTAGTAAACTAAAAACTATTGTGAATTGTTTAACTTATGGCAGAGAAATTATTAAAGAGCTATAAGCTGTGTGGAAACTGGTAGTCTCTCTTTCTCAAAAAAAAAAAACTCAGGAAGTTTCAAGCTGTATCGGATGAGAGATCTTACGAACTATGTGGCTGGCGGGCGGTTAGACTCCGATGCACAAATGTTCGCACACTCTTAACTGCTTCCTTCAATACGATACAACTAAGGTCTATAAATGGATTCTACAGAGTACTGGGACTCTATCATAACGATATATTTTGTTTTACATTGAGAAGACAAAGCTAGCATGCTAAGAAAATGAACCAAGGATTCTAGATGAAAATACGATAATTTTTCCAGCACTAATAAGATGGCTGTATTGGTGTAAAATATATTACAAGTGTACCCAATAGTTTCGAACCCCTTTATGCACAGTAGTACTCAGGATTAGATGTACTTAACAGCTTCCAATCCCCTTGTACACATAAATGATTTAGGATTAGAAATGTAGCTTACTAACCATGTACCACTGCTAACACGACCAAGTACCAATCCTCCTAACAAGAAACACTGTATACCATTGGTAACACTGTACGTAACCGATTGTCTACCATTCCTTACGCTACATAATACCAATCCTAACACCATGCACAATGTATACCTAGCACCAATCCTCCTAACATGAACCATTGTAAACCATTGCTCGTAACAGCCTGGTTAAAAAAATCATCTCAGGTTATCAAAGTTACCGCAATAATTCGTTTCCTTGGATGAATACGACACGGAGAAGTTGCATTGAGCCAAGACGATAAAAATTAAAAGATAAACTGACACATGTAGGAACTTTTGAGTATCGAAGTGACGTGAAAGATCTATTCTCCTTTCTCTTAAGACCTTCTCCTTCTACCTCTCACCTGCCACCGTGTATCCCTACCACCTACTTCTTATCTACCACCACTTATCACCTACCACCATTTACCCCGCAAACACCACCTATTACCATGTACCCCCTACCATCACCTATCATCTACCACCACCTATAACTCCTACCACCCTACCCCTATCACCACCTACCTCTCTACCACCACCACCCACCTCTCTCCTACCATTACACAATACCACCTATACACGGGAATGAATCAATATATACTGTACTACCATCTAACACCATCTGGTATCATTATATCTACTAACATCTACTACCATTATGTACTAACCATGTATTGTAATGTACTACCATGTACAACCATGAAATCATCCGTAGCCTGTGCAGTAATTTGTGATGTACAGTACTCAGTAATGTATACACCCATGTATTATCCCTGTACTTCCTCGTATACTATTATGTACATTAACACATCTTTACCATCTATGGAACTACCTTGAAATGTAGTGTACTACCAGGTAATGTACACCAAAGTTCTCCCATTTACTACTGTGTACACTCTTGTACTAATATTGCTGCTGTGAAGTACAATGCACTGTAATGTACTACATTGTGCATTTCATCACCATTAACTGCTATAAGCATCAGTTTAACACCATGTCAATGACAAACATACACGACCATATACTACCATAATACAATTTGCAACAGTTCAATACCAAACAATGGCGACTACTGCCCCGCCCTACCATGCCATACAATACAGAACATTGAAATAGTGAGTACTACTATGTAGTACCAAGTACTACCGTGTAACACAACCCAATAACACGTGCTACCATGATATAGCAAGTATTACCACATGATAGCAAGTTTTCCCTGTACTACCATGAAATACAATGTGCTACCATTAGCAATCACGTACTACCATGTAATACAACGCGTGCCGTCATTAACAATCATGTACTGTAATAACATTATGTACTACCATGTAGTGAGAGTTGTGTAACACATATGTATATATATATAACATGTACTAACATTGTGTCAGAAGTACCTACAGAGACGGGAGACTCGGGACAAACATTCTCAAACACTCGTTCATTATCTAAACTGACTCGCTTAAACTACGGCAGGAAAAAGCCAAAACTAAGGCGTGGAAATAATTCTGAGGCTGTACCTTAACATGGCAGGGTGAAGGGGTGCCAAAGGTAAATTCAGCAGGATTCCCACGGCATTTTGGCTGGTGTCTTTGTGTCCACCACACGACGCTTTGAGAATGTTGGTGCCAGGACTCGTGTGTGTGTTGATAAAATAAAAAAAATATGAGTGTTTCCTATCTATAATTGAACCCTATTTATAATACTAACACTCCTACCAATAATAATAATAATAATAATAATAATAATAATAAAGGCGTCAGTGAACGTGAAACAGCGCCAAGAGACAATAAACGCGAGAAACGTGAACTAATGAAATAGTTAATGAACGCTTGCCGATACGGACATCCTTGACGTACCTTATTAAGTTTTAATTATCTAGTAAATTAATGTAGGTACATAGCGGGGAAAATTAAAGAGAAGTGACGAAATAATAATCGTGGGGTTTACTCGAGTCTCTTGGGATACACTCCTTCCGTGGCTTCATCTTAGCTTAGTCTGTTTATCTGTCTACTATCTTATCTATTTAAGTAAAAAAATTAAACTTTCATAATTAACGAATAGAGATAAAGTTAAAAAAAAAGTGGAAAGTTGAATATTTAAAAACTCGTTAATAATAATATAAACACTGAAGAAAAAAAATGCTTCAATTAACTAACCGGAATACGATAAAATTTTATAAAGACAATATTATAAAACAAACAAACAAACACAAATAGTCAAGATAAATAAAAAAATTAAAACTAAATAACAACAAAAACACCAATTAACATAAAACTGAAAAAATATATATATTCAGGAAAAAAAAAATATTAAAATTCTAAAAACTAATAAACTTACTAAAAGAAAGTAAACAAAAGAAAAATAATTTGTTAGAGGAAAACTTGAAGGGTTTAAGGTTGAGACGCGGCCAGTTATTGCGTCTCTCCCAAGACTAGGAATTTGTAATATGAGATGATAGATTCCTGACACATACTGACACATACTAAGCACTAAATACTGACACACTGAGCACTGACACATACTGCACACTGACACATACTGCACACTGACACACGAACACACTAACAAATTAATTGGCTAGGAAGGTGTTGATGTTATAATGTATTAGTACGGTTCAATAGCTAAGGATATATTAAACAACTATTTTGGGTGAGTAAATGCACTGGTTATCAACACACACACACACACACACACACACACACACACACACAACGTCCCAGGAGCTACGAGGTGAAGTTTTGTGAAACCCTAAAAGTCTTCGTTAGGTGATTATAAGTAATTTTAAACGATAATGTTAGTCAAGTAATGTAATACATGGGGTCTCTCTCTCTCTCTCTCTCTCTCTCTCTCTCTCTCTCTCTCTCTCTCTCTCTCTCTCTCTCTCTCTCTCTCTCATACGGCCTGGATTCCCAAACGTTTCTTATGTTAATCATTTCACCTACAGTAAAACCTCCATTTAACGGACATCAACCATAATGGGTATAGTCCGGTATATGGAGGTTTCACATCTAATGGACCCGATATAATGGAATACACTCTCCTATATAGTCCGTTAAATAGAGATCTTTCTTTACACTCAAATATAGTTTCTAAAAAAGTTCCTCAAGTTATATTTCACTGATAAAATAGAAATATAGATAATCATGTTAGAATTATAAGAGAAAAGACAAAATGGCGTCTAAAACTGCACTGAGACTCGACCTTAAATGAATTATGTAAGGGATTCTTGTCCTTCCTACTCTTAAATCATCGTCATTAAAGGGTTGAATCATCGTCATTAAAGGGTTAAGTCATCGTCATCAAAGGGTTAAATCGTCATCAAAGGGTTAAATCGTCGTCATCAAAGGGTTAAGATACAGTAATGCGTTAATATCCAAGAAAGAAAAATTAGGTTGCTTTGAGGAGAAGGAGGAGGGGGAGGAAGAAGAGAAGGGGAGGAGGAAGAGAAGGAGGAGGAAGAGAAGAGGAGGGGGGGAAGAAGAGAAGGGGAGGAGGAAGAGAAGGAGGAGGAAGAGAAGAGGAGGGGGAGGAGGAAGAGAAGGGGAGGAGGAAGAGGAGGAGGAGGAAGAGAAGAGGAGGGGGAGGAGGAGTAGAGGGAAACTTCCTCCTAATAAGTTTTCATAACAAAGGTGGAAAACACAAGTAATTAATTTAGGTAGTGTATAACAACACTTGTGATTGTTACCTAAATGTTATTAAAACTGTAATTACTTGTGTGTTTACTGGGTACATCTTTCTGAGTCCAAATTACCAGGTCCGTCTTTGAGTCCATAATATAAGTGTGTGTGTGTGTGTGTGTGTGTGTGTGTGTGAATGTAGATCATACAGCGTGTGTGAGTGTGTGTGTATGTGTGTGTGTGTGTGTGAATGTAGGTCATACAGCGTGTGTGAGTGTGTGCGTTTTGGTGCGTGGAAACTTATGTTCATTTATGTAAGTGCAGTTGTGTATGTGTATACGAGAAGGTACACACAAGCTGGGGTATGTGAGTCGGAATTATTAATTAGCACACTGCTCTCTCTCTCTCTCTTGTTAATCAGAACGTCACGAGTATAAGAAGGTAATGAACCAGAGCGTCATAAACCAGTTAATCAGAAAGGTTAATAAAAAATCGTGAATCACAGCGTTATATAACCGTGAATCAGAGCGTTATATAACCATGAATCAGAGCGTCAGAAAGCCGTGAATCAGAGCGTCAGGGGCGTCAGTCAGTGGTGGCAGCTGTGGTTGTCTCTCCCCGCCTCCACCTCGGGTCACTTCATCGGGTCACTTCACTCTCATCTCGGCTAAAAGCTTTGGTCTGGCGACAAACCTTTCCAGAAATTGTTTTTACAAGAATGTGGTTCTGTTGACTGTTGTGGTTCTGTTGACTGTTGTGGTTCTGTTGACTGTTGTGGTTCTGTTGACTGTTGTGGTTCTGTTGAGTGTTGTGGTTCTGTTGACTGTTGTGGTTCTGTTGACTGTTGTGGTTCTGTTGACTGTTGTGGTACTGTTGACTGTTGTGGTACTGTTGACAAGACTAATGTACAGTAATTATCTCCTCCTCACCACCCTCCCTCACCCTGCACACCCCTGCCTCGCCACCCTACCT